AAGAAAAAAGGAGCTCAAGGGAAATGAGAGCCTAAGTCAGAGGGTACGTACTTGCCCTATAGGAGGGAAAATGAAAGTAAAATAAGTCAATGAAAATTCACAGGGCAAAAGCCATGAATTTTCAGACTGAAAAGGCACACCAGTTGTTCCAGATAATGAAGTGAAAAAGGACCCAAGCACGTTATCCTGACATGTAAGAACACATGGGATAAAGACACAATCTTTAAGGCTTTCAAAAGGAGAAAGAGAGAAAAAAAAAAAAAAAAGGACCAGGGCTTATACCAAGAATTGTGATTCAGAATGCATCAGACTTTTCTCAACGGCAACACTAAAAGCTGTAAGACAAAGGAAAAAAACCTACAAAATCCTAAGTCGGAATTATTTTCCAGAAAAACTATCGATCAAGTGTGAGGAAAGAATAAAGGCATTTCAGACATACAAGTTCTCAAACATAAACCTTGTATATGTATCATATCTCAGCATGCAACTGAAAAACATGTTCCATAGACACAAGAGAAACACAGGGAAAGATGGAAAGGATCCAGGAAGGGGGTGAATCAAAGCAGAAGAAAGGAAACAAGTCTAATCTACACTGAAAACAAATTGCACAAGCAAGAATAGTATGCTGGGTGGCTCAGACGGACATGCTATGTACTTACAATAGTGTAGGCACTAGCTGTTCTACCAAGAAATAGGAAAAAGCATACAGAGAGGATGAGGCAATTGGGGGGGGGGGGCTGGAATAAAGGGGGTAAGGAACAGAGACAAAGACCAGATCCACATTCATATAGAATGTCTAAGAAAATTCAGGACTAATACAAACACATTACTCACAAAGATATATCTAAAAAAAAGAAAAAGAAAAAATTCCTCTGTAGTATTGGAATTGGGGTAGATATGGTAGGAAAGTACTTGTTTTTAATCAGCATCTGTGATTTTATTTGTTGTTTTAAGCACATTTCTCAAGGCCACGCTGAGATCCTGGTGGAGCTCTAAATCTTTGGACTAGGAACTCTAGCTATTAAATTCATTTTAATATAAATTTTAGTTGAAATCTTTGAATTTTATTTCTGATATTCTACTCATACCACCTTGGATCTCTAATTCTCAGCCTTACCCTCTGTGTGTAATGGTTACTATGGAAACAGTGAAAAATAAATTTTATGTCACACAACACCCAACTAGGCTCTTTATCAAGAGTAGGGAATGCACTTACCGAGTGTCAGTATAGCTTGGCAAACTCTTTTCTGATTAGAAAAAGGTCATAATGGCATTTCACTCTAGGACATATACCAAGTAGTCCGCTCACTACTCGATTTTGTTCACTATGTGAGGGAAAAACGAAATGGAAAATAAAATTTGT